GGGGCAGTAGCACCCTCATGATTCGCTTCTCTGGCCAAGCTCATATCATTTGCCCTTCAGCCAAACCACCACCGATCATTATGGATATCATACTTTCCAAGAAGAACAGAACGCAGGAGGAGCCAGGAGAATTAGTGTGCAGCCAGACAGTGCCATTTAATAGAGATGTAGAGCAAAGACTCACTTTATGTTGGAATGAAAAGATGCACTTGGTAAGCTGAATAGACAATATATGGCTACATACTGTGCTAACCTGAAAGAAGGGAAATAAAATTCATAACCACTTACCAGGAAGAAATTCTTCACGGAGAGGGTGGTGAAGCACTGGAACAGGTTACCCAGAGAAGCTGTAGATGCCCCATCCCTGGAAGTGTTCACGGCCAGGCTGGACGAGGCTTTGAGCAACCTGGTCTAGTGGAAGGTGTCCCTGCCCATGGCAGGGGGGTCCTTTCCAACCCAAACCATTCTGTGATTCTGTGATACCTATCTGGACTAGAAATGATTGTCTGCAAGTTCAAATATTTCTAATTCTGAGTTTAACCATTCAGGTAATCTTTAGCTTTTCAGACAAAACACGAGGAAAAGTATATTTAAATATCTAAAATTGACTGAAAAATTCTGCAAAGAATGCTGGTGTGCTGATTTTCAAGATCTTTGTGGGCATTCAGAGTCTTTATAAACTTATTCTCTTAGGTAAATTACAAGGTAACATGAGGTCATGGAATCATAGAATGATTTGGGTCGGAAGGGACCTTAAAGCCCATCCAGTTCCAACTCCCCTGCCATGTGCAGGGACACTTTCCACTAGACCAGGTTGCTCAAAGCCTCATCCAGCCTGGCCTTGAACACTTCCAGGGATGGGGCATCCACAGCTTCTCTGGGCAACCTGTTCCAGTGCTTCACCACCCTCTCCGTGAAGAATTTCTTCCTTTTATCCAGTCTAAATCTCCCCGCTTTCAATTTAAACCTGTTATCCATTGTCCTCTCACTACATGACTTTGCAAGAAGTCCCCTCCCAAATTTCTTGTAGCCCCCTTCAGGTACTGGAAGGCTGCAATAAAGTCTCCCCAGAGCCTTCTCTTCTCCAGATCCTATCAAGATGATATCACACAAACATTTCTCTTTGGTTCTCCTGTGCTGGGCTAGTAGAAAACTGTTTGAGTTGGGGAGAAATGAGATGAGAAGCAGGAAGACATGAGAGGTTGTGTATAAATCTCAGGCACTGATGAGGTTTCAATGCTACAGGATACTCTCCAGTAGCAGCAAAGTGTCAAAGTAGCATTTGCCAGCGCTGTGTTTAGACTGACCGTGGTTTAGGTTGGCGCTGGGCCAGGCAGCTCCCTTCCAGGCTTTCCCAGTGTGAGGAAACCACACATGTTGGGACTACAAGGGTCTGAAGTGTGTCCTTTGTACTTCTCTGGAGTCAGTGTTGCCTGGAAATAAAAACATACCTGCTTATATGCAGCTACTAAAATGAGAATTAATTGATTAGACTATTAAGTTTCTGCCTATAAATGTTGTATTTCTTGATGAGTTTGATGAAGGAGGTTTGAAAGACAGCAAGTTGAGAGTGGTAAGAGAGGTGTAAGAGCTTGAAACTAGAATGCAGGATTGTACATAGACATATGAACAATCATATACTTTATGATATATACTTCATATACTGAACATAAACTTTAGAATGCTGTATGCTCATAGATTCAGGTTACTTTGAAGAAGCTCTCCATTTCAGATATTTATTATATTAGGAACTACTGATACAGCAAAAAGTCAAATCAAGATCCCCAACCATTTACTTTCAGAAAATCCTCATCTGTGGATTTAATTACTTGACAAGATTATATTGTAGAGTCTGATCCTTTATATTCAGATATGTTTGGAATAGTATTCAAAGAAACATCCAAAGCATTGTATCCTTTTCCCTTCTTTAATATATACATATATATCACTTAACTTCCTTTTTACAACCTAATTATTTACCTAAATTAGTTAATTTAACTTTCATATATTAAGTTACAGCTTTATTTCCTGGTATATTTTTTCTGATTAAATAAATCAGTAGTTCTTCTGGAGTTCCAATTTCTTAAATCACTGTAGTTTTAATTCAATTTATTGTGTAATTGGTTGAAAACTTCCTTAGCTGGCAACTTGAAAAAAATCTATCCAGTTTCCAGAGCTTGCAAACCTTATTATAAAACAACATTAAGTACCATAGTATAATAGAAAAAATATCTAAAACTTAATGAAGGATAATCATCCTTCTGTGGCAGGGATATAATTTCTGTGAACTTGTCCTGAATAGAAGCCTCTAGCTACTATTGCAGGAATAGCATTATGAAATGCCATAGTCTGTTCTTGAAAGATCTTTAGATGCCTGACAAGTGTTACAAGCTATTTATAAACTGGAGGATTTGTGGTTCCCTCCTATGAGTACAATAGAGATGTTCAGCAAAAGAAAGCAGAAAAGAGCAACAACCTACATTTATCAGGGCATTGCAAATGTGGACAATAAATCTGAAGACAGCTATGCCATAACCAGTGGAAGTGCAGTGTAAAACAAACGTGTTTAATAGCATGAGAGACTGGAAAGCTGGAGAAGAAATTCTATAGGAATCCTAAACTCTGGCATCCTGCTGGAAAGATTACTTTGGTACATAGAATTTTCTTGTGAGTTTGCCTAAAGCCTTTGTTATTTTAATCCTTAAACTAAATAAATCCTAAATACAAAATGTTGTCAGCTGGGTAAATACTTATAGAATAGCTGCAAAGAAATGGTGCACCTTTCTGTAGGTCCTGTGCTCGCTAGCTGTGCAAGCGGGGGTTATATGTCAGCACTATTATCACTGTGTAATCCGCAGCGCGACCCGCCCATCTCTGCAGGAATAGGAATGCTATCAAGGGCTGACAAGCTTTTGAAAAGCTGCCAGCCCGCAGGAGCTGTCAGTGCTGGAAGATACAGCCACATGTGGGCCAAATAGATAAACATGTCAGATCCCCAATAGCAGCTTTGGAACAAGTTGTTTTCATCTGCCCCAGTCTGTGTTGGCACAGGGTCACAAATTACTGTTCCTTGGAGCATCCTTGGTTTGTAGTTGCTACTGCTTTTTTGCTGTTACCCGGTGCAGCTGTCCCGTGATTTATCCTTTAATGTCCTCTTGCATTGACTTTTATCTGTGTTTCACAGTAATAAATACGTATGCATATATATATATATATCAGCTGAGAAAATGCTTATGAAATAGCTGCAAAGAAATCTGGGACCTTTCTATAACTCCAGTGTTTACCAACAGTCCAAGCAGTTATAAACTCAGTGGAACTGGAGAAGGATGATCGTGATTCCATCCGGGATCTTGTTGGTTTGTTCTGTCTCTGTGACTAGACTAAGTTTGAAAAGAAGTGAGGTGAGGCTGATCTTCAACAGGGGCAGGGTTTGACCCTCTGTGCATGGCGAATTAATTCCCAGGTGTAAATGCATGCTGATGGCCTGGCTTTTGGAACAAATGGAAATTTTCTGGGTGTTGCAGTTAACAGGATACTCATTGCCACCTATTTTAAGAGTATTTCCCTTCCTCCTAAAATTAATAGAAATAGAAACCATCTTACCGATCATTTACAATCAAACAGGACTGGTTCTACTGGGTATCCATGTAGGTTCATGTC